CTCACTGTACACAGCTTGGATGGTTCCCTGCTTCCCCCTCCTGAGGTGTCGGACAGTTTTGCAGAACAACTTTGGTGCCGCCCGAAAGTCCTTTTCCATGTCTTCTCCGAACTTCTCCCACACCCGCTGCTTTGCCTCGGCCACGGTTGAGCCTGCTGGCCTTCGGGCCTGTCGGTACCTTGCAACTGCCTCAGTACTCCCCCGGGATAACATATCCCTGAAGGCCTCCTTCTTCAGTCGGACGGCTTCCCTGACCAGCGGTGTGAACCTACTGGACACCGTACTCTGAACTGCTGTTGGGTGCATAAGCACAGACAACAGTCAGAGTTCTCCCCCCCATAACCCACAGGATTAGGGAGGCGACCCTCTCGTCCACTGGGGTAAACTCCAACAAAGAAGCACCCAACTGGGGACTTGTGAGTATCCCCACGCCCGCTCGGCGCCTCACACCTTGAGCAACTTCGGAGAATAATAGAGTCCCAACCCCTATCCAGAAGTAAGGTTCCAGAGCCGACGCTGTGCGTAGAGGTGAGCCCAACCAGATCCAACTGGTAACGCTCCACCTCCCGCACAAGCTCCGGTTCCTTCCCCCCCAGAGAGGTGATTGTAAAATATAGCACTAATTTACAGAGTCACAACATGGATTGTTGTGACTCTGTAAATGAGTGCTATATTTTCCTCCTTCATCTGCGGGGTCTGCGGGACGCCCTGCGCTGCGACTATGTGAGCTATGTAGGCCAATCACAACAGGCAATTTTACGTTTGCCTGTTGTGATTGGATAGAACATCTCACACAACATAGGCCTGATTACGTCAATAAATGCTTCTTCTAATTGTATGAATTTATACAATTTAACCTTATTTTTGCTCTTATTTTATTATCTAACTATATTTTCTCTCAGTCTTGTTGATGAATGAGTGGGTGGGCCTATAGACCCAGTAGCCCACCCACTACGCCCGGCTGCTTCATACACTGTTCATCATTTGTTATTTGGGTTTGTGTATTTTGTAATTGTAAAAACAAGAAAACTATAAATGAAAATGTCATCGATGATGTCACTGATGATGTCACTGATGATGTCACTGATGGGTTTACCTGAGCAGGTGAGATTCAGGATGTGTTTAGAGGAATATGATGCTGCTGCACACTCCCTCAGAGCAGATCCAGACTCAAGACAGTCAGATCTGATGTACCACATATACCTCCATGAGGACTCCACTCTCCATCCCACAGAAACAGCAGAGCCACAGTCGAGCTCTCTGCAGGCGAGTCCTGCTGTCTTCAGGGTCCAGAGAGAGGTAAAGCCCAACACTGGTTTCCATTCTCCCTGATGTTCCACCTCCAGGTCTCCTGCACAGTGACTCTCTCCTCCCACCAGCCTAACACCAGGCTCTGCAGAGAAACAAGAGAGTCATGTACCTTCATTGATATTAGTATATTTTAATCATTAATCATTTATACTATTAATACTTCCGAGTGATAATCAGATCATTAACTCCAGCTCTCTACACTCTAAAAACAAATGCCTTGGCTCAACAAAGAAAATCAACGCAACAGTTTGCATCAATGTTTATTGAGTTCAGACAACTTCTAATGAAATTGCCTTAAAGCAACAAAGTTATTTGAGTTAGGGGAGAAGGCTTTTCCTCTACAATCAGAGGTGTTTTTAATTACCACTTACTTAATAATTGGTAGCATAAACACAAGTTTTGAAGTTGATTACTCAAAAGATTAAGTTGTTCCGACTAGTTTTACCAAATGATTTAAAAATCATTTGAAATTGTAAGTACTTAATTACCCTCATTCGGGATATACGTTTTTAAGTCTATTACTCCAAAAATTAAGTTGTTCCAACTTGTTTTACCGCATGATTTAAAAAGAATTTTAAGTTGTATGTACTTAATTACCATCATTGTGAACACACGTTTTTAAGTTGACAACCATTTATAAATGAAGTTTCTCCAGATATATTGTATTCAATAGTTTTTTTTCTTAGCTTTTTCATGTTTTTGCCTTTTAAAGAAAGAAATTAATTGATTACCACAACAAAAATATTAGGCAATTCACTTTTACTTTTGCCCACTGCAGTTGTTAATTTCCAACAACATGCTGTTTCAATGCAGGAGAGATTCATCCTTAGTTTTGAACATTTTATTCGACTTCACAAACATGGGTAAATATGATAAATTCAGAACTAGGATCAGTTAGTGGTGAACGTCTTTAAAGTAATCATGTTTCATGATAAAAGGTTGTTACCGACTGGTAATCACTTAAACGAAGTAACAGGGTATAAACGTGAGCACATTTACCTGTTGATGTTGTGCTCTCCCTTCAGCCTGGAGGTTCCTGAGGAGAAATCAGAAGATAAGGTAAACAGAGTTTCCTATCATCTCCCGGAACACTCAGTGAATCGCACTCTGGAATCTTTCCACCAGTCCTTACATAGCTAACACCGATACATACAGAGAGCACTCCTACACACACCTGTACTGAACAACAACCACACACACACACACCACACACACACCACAACCCACACACACACACACACAGCTCACACACAACACACACCCACCACACACACACATGGAAGACCACACACACACACCACACATCACACACAACACACACTCACACCATACACTCACAACACCACACACACGCCACACACACACACCACACAACACACCACACAACACACACACACACACACACACATGAGGAGACACACACCACCACACACACACCACGACACACACACCACACACAGCACATGAGAGACAACACACACACACACACACACACGACCACCACACACACACACACACACCACACACACACACACACATGAGAGAGACACACACAACACACACACAACACACACCCACACACACATGAGAGACGACACACACACACACACACACACCACACACACACACAGCGCACACACACACATACAGCACACACGCNGATGTACCACATATACCTCCATGAGGACTCCACTCTCCATCCCACAGAAACCTGAAGACAGCAGGACTCGCCTGCAGAGAGCTCGACTGTGGCTCTGCTGTTTCTGTGGGATGGAGAGTGGAGTCCTCATGGAGGTATATGTGGTACATCAGATCTGACTGTCTTGAGTCTGGATCTGCTCTGAGGGAGTGTGCAGCAGCATCATATTCCTCTAAACACATCCTGAATCTCACCTGCTCAGGTAAACCCATCAGTGACATCATCAGTGACATCATCGATGACATTTTCATTTCTTGTTTTCATTTTCTTGTTTTTACAATTTAAAAATACCCAAATAACAAATGATGAACAGTGTATGAAGCAGCCGGGCGTAGTGGGTGGGCTACTGGGTCTATAGGCCCACCCACTCATTCATCAAAATTCACTGAGAGAAAATATAGTTTACCGGATTTCTATTTTTTATTATCAAAATGAATAATTAAATAATTAAATAATAGCAAAAATAAGTTTACATTTATTGACGTAATCAGGCTTCTGTTGTGTGAGATGTTCTATCCAATCACAACAGGCCAACGTAAAATGGCCTGTTGTGATTGGCCTACATAGCTCACATAGTCGCAGCGCGGCGCAAACACAACTTAGGACGTCCCACAGACCCCGCAGAGGAAGGAGGAAAATATAGCACTCATTTACAGAGTCACAAGAATCCATGTTCAGAGTTTAAAAAGAGTGAGAGGGGAGAGGCCAGAGCCACCATCCTCACAGCAGGGGCCGTCTCACTCCACATTCTGCCTCTCTGCTTTCTGTGTCCCTAAAGTGTATCAATCTAATGTGAATCTCACAAAACATACAATCTATAATATCTATACAAACAGCTTGAATTCAATGATGACGCCATGTTTGAAGAACAACGTGTTTACAAACATCAGTCAGATAACACATGTGAAACACACATGTGAGAGTAAAGAGTGAAACCTTTTGAAAGTGTGTGAGAGCAGAGGTGGAGCTGAGCAGAAGGAGCAGAGGGTCTGCAGAGGAGGAGGTTCTGTTGAAGACACAGGGGAAGGGTTCACTAATGGAGACCACTTGCTAGAGGGTCTCAGGTGTAGATGTGAGGGTACCTGCAGTCTGTGTTCTTATCAACATGTGTTCTGTTGTTCATCATCAACTCATGTTGGAACTGAGTCCAGTTTGAATCTGAAATATAGTTTCATCTCTTTGATGGTGTGTCTTTGACCTCTGTTTGATCTTCTGTCCTCTGCAGACTCTGTCAGGCTGCTGGGGGGGACTGGTCTGTGCTCAGGCAGACTGGAGGTGAACTCTGACCCGTCTAACCCGTCTAACCCGTCCTGGTCCTCAGTGTGTGAGGCTGACTTTGACCAGCAGGATGCTCAGGTGGTCTGCAGGCAGCTGGGCTGTGGGGCTCCTTCAGTCCTCCAGGGGGCGCTCTATGGAGAAGGGGAGGCTCCAATGGGGACCAAAGAGTTCCAGTGTGGAGGCCATGAGTCTGCTCTCCTGGACTGTAGCTCAGCCTCAGAGAGAAACACCTGCTCACCTGGCACAGCTGTTAGCCTCACCTGCTCAGGTAGAGAGGAGCTGTGATTGGTTCATTCTGTTCTCATCAAACTCACTTTATTCTTTCTCCGATCTCTCTCTTGTTTCTCTTCAGAGCCGGTCAGACTGGTGGCCTTTTGTGGTCTAGTTGTTAGTGTTGGTCGCACAGCCTTAAGTTACCTCTGCGGTACAAACTTCTTGTTGCAAAATGTTTGTAGTCAGTCTATTGTACACTTTGTGTGTACACCTTCCCAGCCATTGTCTCACTTTGGAAAACTTTCACAGCTCTCGTCTCCACCTCGACTCGTCTTCCTCGTCTCCCAGACGTACTCCTCCTCCAAGAGCACTTCTGTGTCCCCTTCCCAAGTGATTACCTCTGGTGAACGATCGCTCGCCAGAGTCCACATCTACACTCGCATGGACGTCAGACACAAAGAATAGGATGCTAACAAGCAAACACAGTAGTAGTTCGAGCGTACAACCGTTTGACTCAGGTCAACTTAGACCTTTATATCAAAGTAGAGAAACTACCACACAGAAACTGGAGACAACTATAAAGTAACAGGGACGTCTGAGACAGCTCCGACGACCCCCCCTGACCAGACCGAGTCGTCTGACCTCCACTTCAGACTTCGGGCAGATTGGGCGATTGGGGCAGGACCAGGAGTCCATCACACTCCCGACGAAACTGGTCGTCCTACGAGTCCACCAGTACGTCCGTCGACCCGACACCCCGAGGAAGTCAGGAGGTCCCCGCGAGATACCTCTCCCCTCCCGAGGTTACCCCTGGTTTCGTCAAGGTCACACCTCCGGTACTCAGACGAGAGTACACAGAGTCAAGTACATATATACATATACATATAAGATACGGATAGAGACAGAGTCGACATCGGAGTTGACGGAGTCCATCTCTCCTCTGACACTACCAGTAAGTACAAGAGTAGTTTGAGGAAATAAGAGAGAGACTAGAGAGAGAACCAAAGAGCGTCCTCGGACCACCACAAGTCCGACCACCCTCCTCTCTCAGCGACACG